ACACAGTGCACCCACATATATTATGTAAACACAAACTTTTATTTTGGATGCAATTAATCGCGATTAATCGTTTGAAAGCCCTATTATAAACTTTAATATTCTGGATTTTTTAAATTAAATATTGGCTAGTATTTATACAAATATTGAATTAAACTAATTTTAAATGGCCACCCCTAGTTTTTACAAATAAAATGTTTGAAATTGAGCAGCTTTGTAATTACAACAGAATCTCTTTAAGGGCCTTCATGGTTTTTGACAATGATGGGCCTTGAAGTTGAAGTAAAAAAGGTTTGGCACTTTGGATGTTGTTATACCATTTAAAATTGACTTTTTTGCAACTAAAACACAACTTTTTCTCAAATGCAGCATTTAAGTTCTACATAACCACTGAATTTCCATGGCTTTTCTGCTTGTTTGTGATTAGTGAATATAATGATCTTTGACATCTTACAGTGAACGAGGATCTCTCGGGTGGCTGAAGATCTCCTGTTCTTCTGATAGTCCACCTCACATCGCACTCTGGGGTTTGTGTGTTGCGGGACGGTAAAAGACAGTGAGGTCCACATGACCGGTAAGTGACCCGGGTCACGCTGCAGCTCCGTGTCTCCGTGAACGCTGCTCCCGCCCTGATCGCCTCGCTCCCACTTCCACTGCAGATGGGGGCGTTCGGACGGGCAGCTGAGCCTCACTGAACAGTTCAACATGACCCGCTGACCATGCTTCACGGGCCCCGGGTCAGTGACCTCAGGTGGCTCTGGCGTATCTGATGATGAGACACATGATTCATACACATATTCTGTGTTATTAGATGTAAAATCACATGAACAATATTAAATGTGCAGTAAGTGATTTCTTAGAAATGCTGTTGATGTTTGAAATCACCAAAACAAATATGCCCCTACCAAAAAGGATCACAAACATCTTGATAGCTCCGCCCCAAAACGCTGTGTAGCACAGCACCTCCCCCTCATGAGTGGACACGCCCCTTACAGCAGATTGGCTACAAGTGTGTTTTGTGTTTTGGTGCTGGTTCCGATTGACCTTCGACACCATTTCTCAAAAAAAAAACCTTTAATACACTTTTATAGTTTTTATTTATATTTTGAATTAGTTTAATTAATTGTTTTATTTTGATGTTTTTCATCGTCATTTAAAAAAAGTTTTGTCTGTCTTTGGCATTTTTTCTAGTTTTTAAATGTCTATGTTTTATTGTTACTTTGAATTAGTTTTTATTCTTATGATTTCCATTTTATTGTTAGATAAAGTTATAATATTTTTTGTTGTGTTTTTGCATTGCTTTCATTTTAGTTAAAGTCAAGTTGTAGAAATGTTGTTGTTTGTTTGTCACTATTATTATTATTTTTCAAATATAGGCTATCTATATAGCTTGTGTGTTTTTTGTGTGATTTTTTTATATCTATATAGATATAGATCTATATAGATATCTATATAGAAGTATAGATATTTTTTATTTCAGTTTCAGTTAGGCTACTTAAATAGGCTACTTCAACGAAAATGTAAAAATGTTGTTTAGCAGCGCACTCAAATAATGTACATTTAAATAACTTAGGTTTTGTCATTTTTTATTAAATTTCAGTTAACATTTATAATTTCTTAAATCATATTTTACCCCCTTTTTAAAAACGGTTTTAGTTGTATTCGTATCAAGTTGGTACAACATTAGCATAGGCCTACCAGTGACACTGACGTTGATTTTGGTGCCCACCGCCCATGACCTTTGACCCAGCTCCCTCATCTGGAGTTCATATGTGTTCTGGTCTTCTGTCCGGATTCTGGCGATGTTGATGGAGCAGTCCCCGGAGCTGAGGTTCCCCGCGAGGGACGTGCGGTCTCTGAAGTGTGGATGAATCGTGTCCCCGCGGTGAGTGCTGAACAACACCGTCGGTCTCCGCATTATGAGGTAGGAGGAGGTCGGGGTCCTCGTGAGCCGAACCTCCATCCGCGTTGCGCTGGGAACCGGGCTGAAGGAGCAGGGCAGCACGAGACACGATCCCTCCAGGACAAACACTCTCCCCGGGGCAGAAAGGGAGAGAGCAGGTGTCGCCCTCCACAGGCATGCTGAAACAGAGCGTTAGAGAAAGAAGTATTTATTTCTGTAATATAATTCAGAAACACTTTACAACAAGCTTCCATTTGTTAACATTAGTTAATAGTTAGTATACATCAGTTCACTTGAAACTAACAAAAAGGATACTTCTGCAGCATTTAGTTATTTTAGTTCATTATGGTCACCCCTGGGTCACATTTTAGATTAGGGTCCAGTTCTCACATTTAACCATCAGTTACAACTTTTGCCTCAATAATAACAACTCCTATTTACTGCTTATTAATATTTAGTTAGGTTGTTAAGTTTTGGTTGGGTAAAAATTGGGTATCGTCATGCAGAATAAGGTATTGATATGTGCATTAGAAGTAATACTAATAAACAGCCAAAATCCTAGTATGCATGAAAAATTAAAAATGAGACCCTAAACTAAAAATGGGGTCTCATTTTTGGGGTAATAATGAAAAATGAGACCCTAAACTAAAATGTTACCTTTAAAATTCAACATTTACTGATTTATACCAAAAATGGAAACACTTATGAGGTCCACTAAGTTAACATTATTTAACGCATTCACTAATATTAACTATGAGTAATATATTTGCTACACTGTTTTTTAATCTTTGTTAGCTTTAATTAATAAAAATGTAATTGTTCATTGTTAGTTCATATCAGCCCAGGTCCACTAAATAATATAACAGACACATCTTTTGATTTTAATCATGTATTAGTAAATGTTTAAATTGACATTAACTAAGATTAATAGATGCTTTAGAAGTATTTTTCATTGTCATGTTAGTTAACTAATGTTTATATAACCTTATCATAAAGTGTCAAAGTTGTATCTGTTATTATTATTTTTTCATGGATCTTAACATGAACGATGAACTATTTTGTATTAACAAATATAAACACTAACGCGTATTGTTAAATATACCTGAAATAAAAAAATTAAATATTGCTGATGCAATATTGTAAAGTGTTACCAGTAATTCTGTTAAACCAATTTAGAGATATGCATGACTTAACAGATGCAAATGAAGACTGATAATATTTCACATCTCATTGTTAAAATTAGCTCATTGAAACTGCTTTATAATAAATGACTTCCTAATGAGAATATTAAACACACTGCTTTTATGAACTTCACGTGTATTTAAAAAAACACTTCTGATCAGTCTTGCATTGTGACAAGAGCATTTCACAACACAGTCCAATATAGAAAAGGGAAGTTATGAAGTGTCTGAGTCTGCATTCATGAGCACATGCTTAAATACAGTCACATGCATTTAGTGAACATTAACATTCTGTATTATTTATGTGTTCAATTTTATTTAATGATGTGTGGAAAGAGAGCATGTAAGAATTAAATGCATGGTTATAGAATTAAGATGATGTTCAGAGAAATTTGGGATTTGTTCATTTGGATTTTGATTTGATTTTGACAGAGATAGATCAGGGCAGATATACTAAAATCTCACTCACCTGTCATCACAGTAAAGAGCCCAATCGCTGCGTCCAGAGCCATGAGACACGCCAGCCAGAGGGACGACACTGCACAGTGGACAGATGCTGCCTGCTGGGGATTTTCTGCTCTTTTTTTGTTTTAAAGGGAAGTCCAAACTGGAGGTCTGGCATGTTTCGTAATGCTGTTCCATGACGTTCTTGCTCCAACATCTTCACTACATTGCATTCAAGGAACACAAGGTTGTTATCAGGTCTTGCTATATAAATAATAATAATTCAGTAAAAATACAGTCAAAATGTATTTACAGAACAACATGTAGGCCTAACTGTAGTTAAAATAGGTCATTCCGACAGCCCTTTTCTGCTGAATTAGCAAGGCCGTGTTGCTACTAAAATATGTTTATATAAAAATGAACTAAATTATTACCTTTAAAAAAAAAAAAAATCAAACATCACTGAACTTAAGCTGGACTGTGATGCTATTTTCTTCCCGAAACAAACTTTTTTTTGCATTATTTTCCTGTTATCTCGGTAAAGCTGCTTTGAAACAATATGTATTGTAAAAAGCACTATGTAAATAAATGTGACTTGACTTAAATCCACTATAATAATAGTGATGGTATAGAGAAAAAACATGTGATGATCCAAAGTCATCATTATAAGTAGCTTTTCCACAAGCTCATGTCAAATACACACAGTCTAATACACACAAATACAAAACACCACAATGGTTGGAAACATGACTCTAAATAATTCAATAAAGATCAATTTAACAACAAATGATGCAGCTTAACATAAAACCCTAATGTAGCCTACTGAAATACCATGAAGGTATATATAATTATTAACAGAATTTTACTGCATAATTACATTAAATGTAAGGCTATTGCAGTTTTTTTTTACAGTTACTATTCCTTTATTTTTTTTACTTTGAAGGAATGATGTCATATTCATCAAAAACTAATTGCATTTTTATTAGTATTATTGTGCAAAGTTAATTTCTCCATGTGCTCAGCAGTGACTCACTCTCACATTTAACCCATTTCCCCTCTTAACGCTTCCTCCTCATACATGCTGTGAACATTCAGTGTTTAGATTCTGGCTAGGACTGAATCAATACACCAATGCCTCAATTTCTAATTCTAATGAGTAATTTGTTTCTGCATTAAGTGAGAATAATCATAGTTGTACTATCAACAACAGTACAGTAACCTATGGTATATTTGTAGTAAACCCACAGTAACCACAAATGTACTGTTGTTGCAACTGTAATAAAAATCAATCTGTCGAAGAATATGGTTACAAGACTAAAGTTATAATAATAATGAACACCATGATTGTATTTAATTTTATTTTTAAAATAATTTTGGGTTTGTTTGTTGTATGTACGTTTGTGATAACTATATGATGATTATACTTCCATTTATGGAGTTTTAAAGGACTTTTATTTTGAAAGCACAAGTGCGTCAGTTGGTGTTGGGTTGTTGTGCTTCCGTGTTTTGTCATTTGATGAATTGTTGCACTTGCGATTTGAGGAGTTTTTGAGATTTCCGCTTCGCCGAAAGGAAAATTTCAGAGCTCAAATACAATTCAACACTCTGTTATACAAACCTTTAAATCATCCACAGTATGGATGAATCCCGAGTCTTTCGGTCGATGTCGGTCTTCCTGCTGTTGTGTGTCGCATTCAGTAGCGCTACTGCGCCCGCAACAACTACAGCTAAACCTACAACTAAACCCACAACTCCTCCACCTGTTCACAAACGTATGTTTTACTTGCTTGTGTCTTCCTTCTTAGTCTATATCTCTATAACGTTACTCTGAAATAGTCAGTCTGAAAATGCTTGATTGCCATATATAAAGTCGTGTAAATATATATAAATATTATTATTGTATGTCTATAATTAATATATACATATTACAATATTTATAATTTATGTAATATATTTAATATAAAACTGTTACTATAATAATGTCAGTGGTGTTAGTCATCTATATAAGAATATAAAAACACTAAAAGGACTATTATGAATAACACGTATAAGTTGAAGTTACATATTTTGTGACCTTTTTTTTTATTTGTCCGTTGTGTTACTCTTGTATGCCATTTATGCTTGGTAATCCTGTATGTGATTTTTAAGGAAGCCCATAGATCATAGTTATGACATAAATAGTCAAAATTGTGATATAAAAAGTCTTATAGTCGATAATTAGGATTTACCAAAGCATTTATTTTTTCTCATCTGGAGGAAATGGCCCTCCTTAAGCCTAGTTCACACTACGTGATTTTAAGCCCGATTTAAGCCCGATTTGCAAATCGTTGAGTCGCCGACAAGTCAGGGTGTTATCGCGTGCAAATCGCGGGCGATTAGCGGGCGATTAACGCTCGCCAATCCGTTAGTGTGAAAGAGCCAACAACGCACCAAAGACAGCTCGCAGACAGGTCACCGAGCTCAGAAAAATATCTAGCATGCTAGATATCTCGAGCAGTCGCGCGACTCAATCTCAGTGATGTCATGAGTACAGCCAATCATAGCAACGCATGGGTTGAGGACACCAGGTAAATCTTACTTTTTCTTTTCTTTTTTGCATTTTTTTTTTCTCAGAGCAGATCGTCGAGCAAACAGTGTGCAGCTCTAGTTTCTGTCTGACGTCCATATTCGCGTGTTGTGTTCTTCTCTGCAGTTTCGCGTCATTTCTGGTTCGTTTTATTGCGTGGTTTTTCGTGGCAAAACATGGTTTCTAGACCAGATAGAATCGTGTTGTTGTCAACTCGTTATTTGTTTGATTATTTTCAGGATTTAGACCGTACTATAGTACTGAAACAGCTCTAATTGAGTCACAAATGATATGCTCTTATCATCCGATCGTGGTTGTATCTCTGTGTAGTGTGTTGTTAACTCGTGTAGTGAGTTACCTCCTGTTGTGGATCAATCACGTTGTGTTGTGTGGTGTGAACAGCTAAACAACTTGAACACTCATGATTTCACTGAGAGCAAGTCATGTAGTGTAAACTGCACAGTTCAGCCCGACATTTTAAAATCATGTAGTGTGAACTAGGCTTTAGATGTTCATATTGTGGTAGATTTAAAGGGGTAGTTCACCCAAAAAATAAAACTGTCATCATGTACTCACCCCAAATTTGCCCCAAACCTGTATAAGTTGAACACAAAATAAGATATTTTTGAGTTAGTAAGAAGTTAGATATGCTTAATGATCTCTGCCTGTGAGTTTCCGGCTCATCTGGGTAATTATTTGGCTAAATTCAGCTCTTTATTGTGTTTTGTTCTGATATGCTTTTATTATCACCCCAGCATGCAATACTCTGACTTCCTGTGATACCTGCCTCTCCAATGTTTCGGTAAGACCAAATACTGCTCATTTACTTTTTATTATCTGAACATTTCAAAAATTAATATTATAATTTAGGGAAATATTTAAATATACGGCAGACTAATCTACTCAGACACTCCAGTTTTATTAATTACTCTATTATTAACACAAAGACTTGTGTCATTAGAATTTTAAAGAGACAAACCAACTAACACTACTAAATATACATAAACAATTCATCAAATGATATGTGCTTGTGTTTGTGATGATTTATTGATGCAAGTTCTGCAACCATGCTTTATGGTAATAAAAATGATCATCAAAACTATTGTACTCTAGTACTCAGTTTGGTGTCTGTTATAATAATTATATGCCGATTATACTTTCGTTTCATCTTTTGAAATGTTGATATCAGACTGATTTGTGTCATTTGACAACAAACCAACAGCACAAAACACCATCAAATGCATTGATGATAATGTTTGAGCTGCTGTGTGTCTCTTCTGCAGAATGAGGCCTTTAATAACAATAATTATTATAATAAATGTTTTTGCCAACAGTGTTTGTGGTGCCAGACCAACAACAGCTGCACAGATTATCCCGTGTCGTATGTGATTCCTCCGGCGTCGGTGTGTAAACTCTCTCAGGCCCGCTGGGGTGTTTGCTGGGGTGAGTTAAATGTGTGTTCATGTTTTATCATGTTACACAAGCTAATAGCTTTAAGATGCACAAAATACATGATGATTTCTATTACACAGCCAGCTGTTGAGACGATTGAAGCAATACTTTCACATTCGTGAATTGAGATTTGCATTCAGGGCTGAAAGTCCCTTAGTTCAACTTCCTTTAAAAGACACGGGAGATTTTATAATGTCATGGTACTTTTTACAAGTCCTGAGGACATTAAATTATTATGCGGATCTCTTGATATGTGATTCTGATGGGTCAGTCGTGTTATTCAGTGGTTAAATATTCCTGAATAATGACCTTTGTCCAGGGCAACACAATATAAATGAGTGATCTTCTGTCTCCTACCACTGATATTATTGTACATGTTAGTATTATTCTTTATAGTTAATATATAACTATAGATAAATGAATACTAAATATTAAAAGTATTTTTTTTCTGAACATTTTGTTTCAGTTTTAGCACTTTAAGTTAATCTTATTTCAGTTAGATGTCAAGGCAAAAGTCATTTAGTTTTTAGTAGTAATTTTGTGATTTTGTCCTTTTTATTATTTTTTTAATCTATAATTAAATTTATTCTTATTTCAGTAATTTTAGTACAATTATTTTCAGTAATTGTAGTCCCTTTTCAACTTAAAGGGATAGTTGACTTTGAAATTAATTTTTGATATGTTTTAGCTTATCTCAAGGGCATCCAAGATGTAGGAGTCTTTGTTTCCACAGTATTTTCAATTTTGATATTTTAAGGTCAAACCGTTCTTGTCTCTCAGTCATATAATGGAGGTCTATGGTCACCACCTCAAAGAGCATACACAGAGAAGTCCAAATTAAACGTGATTTAATGACTCGTAAATGTAAGAACACATTGATGGCCTAAGACACGAAACGATCAGTTTGTGTGAGAAAACGAACAGTATTTATATCGTTTTTACCTCTTTAGCCACGTCCAAGTGATCTGAGGGCGCAGACGCTTCGTTCTGCGCAAGCATCTTATCTTACAGGCGGTTGCTGAAAAAATTCAACGTTGTCTGTTGATATAGTGAAATTGTCTTCCATTGCGATTTCCTGTATATCTAAATATGTTTAGATCCTTATAGTGAAGGGCAACACTTCTGAAATCTCTGTGTAATAACAATAACACATGATAACAATAAAAACTGCATCTCTTCAATCATGAGAACATTCCTGTCTTTTGCACTGTGGGCAAATGTCCAGCAGATGTCAGTAGTGTTTCAGTACATCTGTTTGAGCCAGTGTGCATGAAGTTCAGTGTTGTGATTTGCTGTTGTTTTGTGTTGTGCCAGTGAACTTCGAGGCTCTGATCATCGCGATGGCCGTGGTGTTGGGAATGCTGCTGCTGGCGATCGCCGTGTGTTGCTGCTGCTGCTGCTGTAAACGCAGGCGCTCATCAAGGTTTCACAGACTTCACTGTTCACTCAACCCACACACACACGTTAAACACTCAGAAGACGCCTTATGCATCAGTGCCTCTTTTCTTTAAATAGTCACATTCACACTACCAGGTTTCACTTCCAACTCAGAGCTTTGATGCGTTCTGTGTTAAAATGTTAACCCTGTAAAGCATGCCAAAAAATAGAATAAAACAGTTTATTGAACCTTCAGACAAAAGAGCTGCCCAAACTGCTCAAAAATATGTAGTTTAGTGCAGGTGCTGATATTCATATGGCCAAAAAGATCAAATTCTAGCTAGTAATGTAAATCAATAAAACCAATAATATGTTTTGGTAATATGATATTTAAATTAGAGCCCGACCGATAAAGGATTTTGAAGGCCAAATATTTTTTGGTTTTAAAATCCAATATTCCGATTTATCGGCCGATAATTTTTATTTATTTATTTTTTTTCCAGAAACGCGCAACCATAACATAGTTATTTGTAGTTATTTATGAGTTTTAACTGAAATAATATGATAAAGCATTTTAAAAAGAAACGTGTTTCTTTTATTGTCACAACAGAACGGAGGAACATCAAAATATATTAAAGTTCTGATAAATAAAATAATAATTAGTTCCTACATTGATTTATAAGCTACCTTATAGTTACAATGTCAGGTTAGCTAGTCTATGATGAGCCATAATTTAGCAATAACGTCATACTGCAAATTGTAAAACATACATTTTCAATTTAACAGGCCAAGGAGAGATGATTGAAGCGTGTTTCGTCCGTTTTTATTTTATTTTTAAAATTTTAATTTATCGGCCATTATAACTGCCGATACCGATAGTTTGGAAAATGTATAATATCGGCCGGCCGATATATCGGTCTGGCTCTAATTTAAATGCTCTGTATTTTATACTGTGATGGGTAAAACATATAATGCAATGCAATATAATGATGATTGAGAGAAAAAAACATTCCTTATAACCCTGATGGATCTTAATAGATACTTACATTTGAACATGATTTATGTATGAATGAATATTTAAGTAAGCCTAAGTTGCTTTCATCTTGAAGTATTACTAACAATATTACAATTATTCTTTTGCAATATTAAAGTGATTCTTACACTTTATAAAAGTCAGTAAAGATTTCACAACAAAAAGACACATGAAGCTTGTTTTTACAATGATACTAAAAGGCCTTTTACCTGCTAAAAAAGCATAAAGTATCAGTCCGACGGCAAAAGGCATTTTGTAGATTGTGTACAACAGTTTTTTTTTAGCAAAGTTTTGATCATGTTAATCATTTAGAGAAACTTTTGTATCAAATATGAGACAGTAGCTTTATAGGGTTAATGAACACAATTACATTTTGTAGTGGATATTTTTATTGAAGAATGGATGTTTTCCCCACAGAGAGGATATTTGAAGAGTTCAGATGCAAAAGCCTCTAAATGCCATTTGAAATTTTCTTCTTTAATGATGATTTTTTATCAAACTTGTATATTTAAGTTCAGTAATTTCACTTAAATAACAATTAATAGGTAATTATCATTGCCATTTAAGTGAAATTACTGAACTTAAATATACAAGTTTGATAAAAATCATCATTAAAGAAGAAAATTTCAAATGGCATTTAGAGGCTTTTGCATCTGAACTCTTCATTTGTATTTGGCGGGTTGTATAGGGCATGACTGTGTGTCGGTCTGTCAATCAGAGATGATTTCATTTGGCAAGCCATCCATCTGCTTACCGGCCTCATGTCAATCACACATCTTATGCGATGAAAACAGACGTGTGTTACTCAAAGCAGTGAGCACTTCCTCTACCTCTGATTAACACATATTCAGCTCACGTGAGCTTGGAATGAATGTGGAATGTAATGCTTTGTGGTATTGAGACTCACAGTTCAGTTTAATTTTTTGTTGTGGTTGATCATCGAAGGGGAATTCCTGTGCCTGGAGTTTCAGTTTCAGTGTTGACCTAAAGGTGGTTCTCCTGAAGTTGATGATTCTCCAATGAATTACTGTAAATGTCAGATTCTAGTAGGCAGGCCGATATTATCGGCCGATATTAGGAATTTTCCAAACTATCGGTATCGGCAGTTATAATGGCCGATAAATTAATATTTCAAAAATAAAATAAAAACGGATGAAACACGCTTGAACCATGTCATGAGTGTTGTGTAGTTTGTCCACCAGAGGGCACTCTACACCGTTCCTGTTGGCAACACTCGTTGAGTTGGTCACGATACATGCTTTGCTTGAATAACAATTAAAAGAACATCCCCATCAGTTCTCTTAACTCAAATAAGCATGACAAAATTTGTGGCCGGCGGAAGTTTCCTTGGCCAGTTATATTGAAAATGTATGTTTTACAATTTGCAGTATTATGTAATCCATTGCTAAATTATGGTTCATCATAGACTAGCTAGCTAACCATAAAGCTAGCTAATGCCACTATCATCAGTCTGTTCTGTTGTAACAATAAAATTAGTACAATTTTTTAAATGCATTATCATATTATTTTGGTTAACTCATAAATAACTACAAATAACCAATGTTAGGGAAATCTGTTAATGTTTTGTTGCGCCTTTCTGAAATAAAAAATGGAAAAAATATCGGCCGATATATCGGATTTTAAAAACAAAAAATATTTGTATCGGTATCGGCCTTCAAAATTCTTTATCGGTCGGGCTCTAGATTCTTGTACTAGTTGTTCATAATATTCTTGGTGTGACTGAGGAATGATTATTTGCAGTGGCGATGTTCATACAGCCCCAGTGTGGTCCTGACCTCTAGTGTAAATAATGATGGCTTCAATTTCAAACCAATTCGAGCCGATTCAGACCCTGACAATGTTAACGAACAAGAGGCTTTGCATTTACCATTTTACAAAAGCGAGAGCTTACAAAATCTATACAAAAAACAAGCTGTTCTCCATAAAATGTACAGCGCACAGATAAACGATGGGGTTTTAGGAAGGTCAAACAAATGAGACAGAATCTCTTTGACAGTAACAACACTGTCTTCTCTAATGCAGTTCAGCCAGGCCTCGTCCCTTTTTTGCATAATCCGTGGGCGGAAATTATTGAAATTATCCCATGGTGACTTCATAAGATCCTGAATAAACTCGTTGTAGTCCAAACGAGTTGTTCGTTGTAGTTCTTGAAAAGTGGATTCTGTATAATTAAAATGTCTCCTCCTGAGCTTTGTAACCTTGCAGATCTTATTTATGCTCAAACAGCAACATTATACACTAACTACAGTTGAGAAAGGATAATAAATAGGACCCTTTTAAACTGACAGAGTGTGTCCTCCTTCCCGAACAATGCTAGGAAGACTGTTCCAGAGTTTGGGTGCTAAATATGAAAAGGATCTACCGCCCCGCAGTCGATTTTGATGGGTTTTATCAACTATAAGCAGAATTTTGAGATTACAATAGACGTGACTGAGGAGCTAAACCATATATTTAGATGCTCATCCAATAACAATTACAATCCATTTCATTAAATATGTTCAAGCTGATCTCGTTTTGACTGTAAAACTGAATTTGAGCTATAAATTCTCTCTTTTGGTACTGGTTAATAAATATGATTAATAAGCTCCATTGGTCAACAACAACAGGCCCAGGTTATATTTCACTACAACCTCAAAATAAAGAGATTAGAATTTATTTTGCTTAAAAAAATACGCTTATTTATAAGAAACAGTACGATTAGTTTGCATTATTTTCATGATATTTAACATTAAATATGCCACCTAAAAAGCCATCTCTCTTATATTAAAGTAGTGATTTATCTGTTGGTTTATTTTCAGTTTTGACCGTGATGATGAGCAGTTTGCCCGTCGAAGAGAAGAGATCAGACAGCGAGCAGATGAGCGGTAAGTAAATCTCAGACCTCAGATCTGGCAGGCACCTGTTAGTGGATTCGCTCACTATATGTGTGTGTGGCTCAATCGGTTCATTACGTGTGTTGTGTGTAAATATGTCTGTAGGGTCTTTCAGCAGCTGTGCTGCACTAACAAGGTCATTTCTGTGTCAAGCACTCGAGGGGGAACAGAAATCTCCTTTTGAACTCGAGAGCTCAGATTAACCAAGATCAGATATCTCTGCAGGGTCTTGACGGATTGTGTGTGATGCATCTGACGTACAAATGTGCTTTTGTTCATTTAGAATGATTTTTGCAAACTGTAGCACAGTGCATTCTGGGAGTCTTATAATTGAACATGTATTTGGAGTAAATCGATTATTTAGATTTGAAAAAAATTATAACCTACACCCTTATTTGATAAGCATTGGTTAGGTTTATTAATATTTGTTTCTTTGTTGTTGTTGTATAAGTTAATTATATTTTAACATTTTTGTTGTCTGCTGTAGAAGTACCATAAAAGTATTTTTCTCTTTGAGTATTCTTTGCACAAAAACATTACATTGTGCAAGTAGAATAATTAGTTGCGATTGGTGTTTCAAGTTTAATTTTAATAAGTTCATTTTTAAATTGAGATGTTAAGGGTCAGTAAGATTTTATTTAATTTTTTTAAAGAAATGTATGGTTTTATTTAGCAAGGATGCATTAAAACATTTATAATTTCACTTAAAATGCTATTATAACTTGATATTAATAAAAAAAAATCATGATTTTTAATTATTGAAATAAGAAGAATGTTTTCTGAAGGATCATGAAAATTCAGCTTTGCATACAGGAATAAATTACATTTTGAAATATATTACAATAGTTTGTAACATAGTTAATATTGCAATATTTCCAAATTCTACTGTATTTTTGATCCAATAAATGCAGCCAAAAACAATTAAATCCCTTACCGACCCCAAACTTTAGTTAGAGTAACATTTTCTTTTGATTAAGAAGACCCATTTAGTTTTTAATCGTTGTTGGTCTAATCATTTGGCACTGCAGTTTAATGTGGAAATCTGATCAGATTGGGTTCTCTCAGTAGACACACACACACACACACATGTTAAACAGCAACCGGTGGAGTCATTCTTGTGGTGCTTTGTGCAGGATTGTGTTCACAGCAACAGATGGCCTACAACTCTGGTGATTGTTCTCAGATCAGCTGCTCATAAAGCTCCGGTTGATTTATACGCCACTTTTGTGCAGATATGAAGCGACCGCGGGTTCGTATGGAGACCAGGCTCCGGCTCGGCCCAACTTCTTTATGGAGTGTTGAGAGAATGAATGATGTACGGGGAGCGAGTGTTGTCGTTCAGTGTGTCACACGCCCATAAAACACCGCTGCTCGTATTTACGACGCCCCCACCGCGAGAATGGATGGGCTTAAAGGGATACTCCACTTTTTTTGGAAATAGGCTCATTATACAACTCCCCCAGTTGAGTTTTACCGTTTTCGAATGCATTCAGCTGATTTTTTGATATTTAGAAGAATATCAGTAACCAGATAGTTTCTGGTCTCATTGACTTCCATAGTAGGAAAAAAATGTACTATGGAAGTCAATGAGACCAGAAACTGTCTGTTAACTGAAATTCTTCTAAATATCAAAAAATCAGCTGAATGCATTCGAAAATGGTAAAACTCAACTGTTTAACTCTAGGGGAGTTGTAAAATGAGCCTATTTCCAAAAAAAGTGGAGTATCCCTTTAAACAAAGACATGAACTCGGCATGAATCACCTTCTGTATCCCATGTGCTGCCCTTTAGGACTTGCCGTGTTTTCACGTTTCAAACTGAAATTGAATCCAAGTTATGAGTTTGAATTGTTTTTCTTGTGCAAACTATTTTAGGTTATTATATTGCACAGTCGTGAGTCGTGACCCACACAGTATTAAAAAAAAAATAGCAATACATGCACAACTGCATTACATAGTCTGGATAAGAAATATGAAAATTTCAATTTTGGATTATCTCCGCTTTTGAATCATAAAATCAAAGTTGCAATTTATCTAATATTGCAGGGTTTATTATAAATGATGGATCAGTGCACAGATTTTTTTTTTTTTTTAATCATGCACCGTGTAATCTTTAATCCAAATAACTTCCCCTCCCTCTTGCAGCAACATCTCTTCTCTGATGATGTGTTTACTGGCAGGACAACCTGTCAATCACAAGCCACAACCATCCAATCAATTCCCCATGGACAAAAAAAGTCCCGCCCTACATTTTTTCTTGTTTGAGAAGCCGTTTTTCTCAGATGTATGTCACAATAGGCAGGAAAAGTTACTTGCAACATCCGTTTCACACTGACTTTAACTAGTTTCTACCAAGTCATAGATGATTTTGCATCAAAATACAGCTGCTCAAAACAAGTCAAATGAGGCCAATGACTGTTAGTTTTATTGGTTTGCAGAAGTTCAGTATTTAACTCAGTAGAAGTTGGGAAAATATGCATAACCTAGACCAGTCTGTCAAAACCAGTTTCTAATCTCTGGTTACTGTCAATTACAGGAAGGTGGAGAGGAAGACGAAGCATGATGAAATCCGCAAGAAGTATGGTGAGTCACATCAGTCCTGATCTTCTGTCGTTAATGTCATTCACAGTCTACTTACTCTTTTCTCCATTTTTTAAAAATAGTTACGAAATAACACAAATAAAACTTTGGGAATACATGTATGCTGTATAGTGCCGCCTGTGTTTACTGCACTGTATGCTTCAAAACATACAAACTAGAAATAACATTTTGTTTTGCAAGAATTCATACACTGTTGTTGAAAAGTTTGGGGTCATTTAAGATTTTTTCATGTTACGCTCACTATTATTTGATCAAAATTATGATAAGCTGAAATAACTTTTCTATATTCATACAGAATGTCATTCATGTGACGCAAAACTGAATGTTCAGCATCATTACATTATTAGTCTTCAGTGTCACATGATCCTTCAGATATCATAATATGCTGATTTGCTGCTCAAGAAACATTCCTTATTATTATCAATGTTGAAAACAGTCGTGCCGCTTCATATTTTTACAGAAACCATGGTGCATTGTTTCTTTCAGGATTCTTCAATGAATTGAAAGTTCAAAAGAACAGCATTTAGTTGAAATATAAATCTTTTGTGACATCTTTACTCTTCTGACCCCAACATTTTGAACGATATTGTATATACTGTATATGCACAGTTCATATTTATCAAGCAAGCTTTTAGTGCAGAAGGTTTTTATGATCATGGGGAACAAATTCAGTCAGTTTGTCCTAACTAATAGTCGCACAGACGTCGCACACAGACGGTGAGCAGAGGTCGTGGTCCATGCATTTTTTTCACAAACTAATGTATTCAGGCCGCTGTGGAGGAATTTGCCGGAGATAATTGCTCCAATAATTGTGGGTGAGATTCAGATTGATCTGCTGCAGTGACGCTCAATTCTGCAACAACTTCTTAGTTTCATTACTGGGTCAACGTAGCTAGTACGTCTTCAGTTGTAGTGTTGTGTTCTGATTACAGGACATTATATGGAGTTGTTTTCACACAGGTCATCATGTCAGCTCTGGTTGTCTTTATTGATCTGGTTCCTTGTGTAGGTCTCAATAATGCTTGATTCAGCAAATGCCGTTTTTCAAACGATTGATTCGTGATCAATGCTTATGTGGCTAAACGTAATGGCGTCTCAGCAGAGGAAGAGTAGAGATTATGAATGTGTTGTAGAAGTGATAGTAATACAAATGCTAAAAGTTACTGATTGCCTTTTTAGATAGTAGTAGGGTAGTGGTATGTCTAAAACATAATTATTTTACCTATTTCTTATGAATTATGGCCTGATTAGCTTTTACCAGATGGACATAGACACCAAACTGGTCTTCCACTTCCTAAAACATGATGAAAATGATTTGTTTTCTGGCTGTTGACATGTATTTTCAGATTTATGAAGTGATGAAAAGATATCCAAAATCCACTCTTTAAAAATCTTTAACAACATGTCGAACAAAATCAAACAATTCTTTTGAACCTGGCTTTATTTTAATTTTATCCTATTCACTTGTAGTGTCTTATAAAGAGTAAAAGCACCGATGCAAAAATTCCGTGAGGGTTTGAGGAGAGAGATTCATTTCTCCTGAATTTCTTCTTTTGTTTTACACCTTTTTGGTTCTTAATATAAACCTGGCTGGCTGGTTGGCTCACGCTTGATTAACTCTGTGCTAATTAGCACTAGTGGAGAGCCGAGAAGAGCTGTAATTTATGTGGTGGCAAAGCCCAGGGTCCTGTCCCAGCGCTGCAGAGGAATGAGGTGAAATGTAAATGTATTTGGCGCCTCAGATCACAGATCCTGCAGTGCGTGAAAGCGAGAGAAAGCGAGAACCGGGGTCAGTCACCAGAGCCACAGAGTTCAGAGCGAGACGGAGGGCAGGAGGACGAACCTGCGGAAATACACGTGACCTTGAGAGAAGCTGAAGGGAGCTGGACGTGTGGGTTCATGCCACTGAAGAAGAACGATGAAAATGACCTGAATAAGAGGAAACAGCAGAGAGCATTTCTTTCAGAAGAAATAATGTACAGCTACATGGACACAAACTTCTATTCTAGACCAAATGCCCCAGTTATGCTTTCTCGTTTGTAAATGTAAAAGATCTGCCAGTTTTAGTTTTAGTCATTGTCTGTAACTTGGGTCATTAACTTGGGTCACAAATATCCAACCACAATAGAAGTAGACCAATCACAATAGAACGGCCCATCTGACCAATCAGAGCGGAGTACACCAATCGGGCCATCTGACCAATCGGGTCATCTGACCAATCAGACTGTAGTAGGCCAATCACAACAGACTGGCCCATCTGACCAATCAGAGTGGAGTAGACCAATCACAACAGACTGGCCCATCTGACCAATCAGAGCGGAGTACACCAATCACAATAGAACGGCCCATCTGACCAATCAGAGCGAAGTACACCAATCGGGCCATCTGACCAATCAGACTGTAGTAGGCCAATCACAACAGACTGGCCCATCTGACCAATCAGAGCGGAGTACACCAATCACAATAGAACGGCCCATCTTACCAATCAGAGCGGAGTACACCAATCGGGCCATCTGACCAATCAGACTGTAGTAGGCCATTCACAACAGACTGGCCTATCTGACCAATCAGAGCGGAGTACACCAATCACAACAGACTGGGCCATCTGACCAATCAGAGCGGAGTACACCAATCACAACAGACTGGCCCATCTGACCAATCAGAGCGGAGTAGACCAATCACAACAGACTGGCCCATCTGACCAATCAGAGCGGAGTACACCAATCACAACAGACTGGCCCATCTGACCAATCAGAGCGGAGTACACCAATCACAACAGACTGGCCCATCTGACCAATCAGAGCGGAGTACACCAAACACAACAGACTGAGCCATCTGACCAATCAGAGCGGAGTACACCAATCACAACAGACTGGGCCATCTGACCAATCAGAGCGGAGTACACCAATCACAACAGACTGGCCCATCTGACCAATCAGAGCAGAGTAGACCAATCACAACAGACTGGCCCATCTGACCAATCAGAGCGGAGTACACCAAACACAACAGACTGAGCCATCTGACCAATCAGAGCGGAGTACACCAATCACAACAGACTGGGCCATCTGACCAATCAGAGCGGAGTACACCAATCACAACAGACTGGCCCATCTGACCAATCAGAGCGGAGTACACCAATCACAACAGACTGGCCTATCTGACCAATCAGAGTGGAGTAGACCAAACACAACAGACTGGGCCATCTGACCAATCAGAGTGGAGTAGACCAATCACAACAGACTGGCCCATCTGACCAATCAGAGCAGAGTAGACCAATCACAACAGACTGGGCCATCTGACCAATCAGAGTGGAGTAGACCAATCACAACAGACTGGGCCATCTGACCAATCAGAGTGGAGTAGACCAATCACAACAGACTGGGCCATCTGACCAATCAGAGTGGAGTAAACCAATCAGGCCATCTGACCAATCAAAGTGGAGTAGACCAATCAGGCCATCTGACCAATCAGAGGGGAGTAGACCAATCACAACAGACTGGGCCATCTGACCAATCAGTGCAGAGCAGACCAATCACAACAGACTGGGTCATCTGACCAATCAGAGCAGAGCAGGCTCGCGGAAAGGAGGGGTTTAGAAAGACTATGATTTATCAAACTGTTTCAGATGCTTTGAGAGAAGAGTGTATTTAATGAGAAAATTCAAGTGTTTAGGACCTCGGGTGAATGTAAACTTAATGTAGGAGACTCCAAAACTAAATTAGGAACCTTTAAGATAGCATGATGGGGCACTTTAAAAGCTAGGTCCAAATTGCAACAAACAGCTTGCAGATGCTCATGTGACTGCAGTGCGACGGTTTGACATTCTCTGTGAGGCGGTGAAGATGAGTTCAAAGTGAAGAAGATCAAAGGCTGTGAGAACACGCTCACACCATGACAAGACTGTCTCCTCTTTCCCACTCCAACTGGAGATCAGCGTGTTCTCGCTACTCGACAGGCTCCTCGTCTGCGGTCGCTAATGTGCTGGAGAACTGATGATGAGCAGATCCATGTGACCCTCATGTCCACTGTTGTGCTCTCACACGTTTCAGTCCTGGATTTTATGAAGCAGTTTGTATAAGATTAATGATTTTATTCAAGGTTTCATATCCTTTTCTGTTTACACTTTACAATAAGGTTTCATTTAGTATCTAACAGTGAGTAATATATATTTGTATATAACATTTAGTAATCCATTTGAAAAATACTACTGTTCATGTTAGTTAATAGTACATTATCTACTGTTAACGAATACTGTTCAATTTTAATTTAAAAAATGTATTAGTAAATGTTTAAATTGACATTTAATGCTTAATTAATTAACATTTTTAATGGTTTAAGTGAATTTTATGAACATTAGAGTTTGTATCCAGGTAAAATAATTTAATGCATAAAGTAATTTTTATATTTTTTGCTGTTTTTGTGGGATTCACCCAACAAATATATATATATATTTTTATTTTTTATTTTTTTGCAAAAATTGAAGATTGCCTGCTTTAGGTAATAGAGACTATGATCTCAGACACTATAACTGTTTCCACAACCTGCTGCGGTGCAAACTAAAAATCATTTTTGGAAACTTTGCTTATTCAGTTCAAAATAGAAGTCATTGATGTCATTGTCTGAGTGTGTGGTGATGCTGCTCTATTATGACTGATGGTTTCTGGGCCATGTCCTCATTGGCTCTGCTGTGTGCTTGTGTGTCCTGTGGTGCACTGTGTGTGTGTGTGTGTGTGTATGGACAACATGACAGCATGATGGATGGAGGCCTCCTTTGTGTTTCTCCTGCTCTCAGCAGTTTGTACGTCAGGGAACGGGTGTCTCCGACCCTGCTGCTCTCACACATGGACACACACACTAGCGTCTGCCCTCGAAAGGACGTTCGGTGTGAGATTCTGCCGTGTATCACACTCTTAATGCAATTACACAGCAACAGAGTCCAAAACAAACACTCGCTGGGAGTTGACTTTGGCCAATTAACCTCTTTTTTTTTTTTGTTTGTTTAAGGCAAAGACAGTACAGGTGAAACCAGTGTTTTTTCATACACTGGTCAGTTTTGAGATTTAAAGGAGTAGTTCACTTTTAAAAAAAACATTTGCTGATAATTTACTCACCCCCATGTCATCCAAGATGTCCATGTCTTTCTTTCTTCAGTCGAAAAGAAATGAAGGTTTGATGAAAACATTCCAGCATTTTTCTCCATATAATGGACTTCAATGGGAACCAAACGGCTCAAGGTCTAAATGAGAGTTTCAGTGCAGCTTCAAAGGGCTTTAAACGACACCAGATGATGAATAAGGGTCTTATCTAGCGAAACGATCGGTCAATTCAGAAATAAATAAAGTTTAAGTTTTATTTGCACAAATGCTCGTCTTGCTCTGTTCTATGATTCGCGTTCGTGACTCATGTTCAAACTTGTTCATCAAAAAGTCATGACTCGAAGGGTCCTAGATAAGACCCTTATTCATCGTCTGGTGTCGTTTATAGCCCTTTGAAGCTGCACTGAAACTGTCTTTTGGACCTTGAACTGTTTGGTCCCCATTGAAGTCCATTATATGGAGAAAAATGCTGGAATGTTTTCATCAAAAACCTTAATTTCTTTTCGACTGAAGAAAGAAAGACATGGACATCTTGGATGACATGGGGGTGAGTGAATTATCAGCAAAAGTTTTTTTGCACAAGTGTATTTTATTGCACTTTATCAATTTATATTTGTAGATTTCAATTCCAGTGCAGTTTTTCACCTGCATTGAATCAGAAAACTCCACTTTTGCAGCTTTACATGCACCAAACGTTCTGGCGAAATTAGTATTTTCTGATTTATTGACTGATAAAAAGAGATCCCTTTAACTCTAATATGTCAGTAAAATGAAACTTTACTGCTTAAACTACATATTCAATTAGATAATGCATAATTTGCGTATATAAACACAACATTTCATTACAAACCAATTGGTTTGATGTACTGTGATTAATTGAGTATGGTGATATTTGTTAGTGACACAAGTAGTGTCTTAAACACATTTTAAGATGAAAGTGATTTAAGCGATTTAATCAAATGCATGCAATGCATTAATTAAAAAACAAACAAACAAATATTAAATAGTTTCATAGCTGGTAAGAAAACATTCTGGCCGTTTTGGACCCCGTATGTCACGTGTCCATCAGAGGTGAGCGTCGCCCGTGTCAGAGCCGCGGCTCTCAGTTGTGCACATGCCCGAATCGACCCAAGGTTACGGAAAGAGCTGCGGTCGCCCGCTTAAAACACGTCACGTCCTCCGAAAACCTGCTGCACCTCCTAACCATCAGGGAGGTGAAAGTTGAGAGGCTTTTCCTCTCCCATCTGCCCTTGTGCAAACAAGCTCAGAGCAACGTGTGTGAGCAGAATAGATCCCTGTGAAATTTATCTCTGCTACTTAAGCTTCATTGCCCAGGAGCAACAGGAAGTGTCACTGACTGAAAATGTGATGTGTTATGATTAAAAACCCAGTTCTTGATCCCCTCATGTGATTGTTTTAGTGACTAACTGAGTTTGGTAAAAGCATCTGCTGGATGTAAATAATAATATCTCTCGTCCTTCTTTCTAGGTCTCATCCCAGACTCCGACCACCCTTACAGCAAGTTCGAGAACGAGTAAAACCGAGGGATTGGACGTCCAGGAAACACTTCACCAGATGCTTTGCTTTGCTCTTTTGAGACACGTCAAATCACTTTAGGTTAGATGAAGCTGGATAGCAGCCGAAACTGAGATTAACCCTTCCACTGGTTAGTTATCTCTCTCTGTGCTCTGATTTGACACTTGCTGAATTCAGAACTAGGATACTACTCGTACTACTTTTATCCTATCTTTGTATGGCAGAAATAGTAAGAGTAGCACACTAGTACAGTTCCTCGATATTTTTCTTTTCCCTTTTTTTACTCTAAACACAACAGAATCACATTTAAATTGCTTTAGATCAAATTGCAACTGATGAAAATGGCCAAAATGGAGTGATTTTTTTTTTTTTTTGCGTGTGTTTCTTTGTTTTCTTATAGTGAGTTTAAGGACTAGTTCTCCAAAAATGTAAAGTCTGTCATTATTTACTCCCGCCCCGCATCATTTAAATCTGTATTTCATTGATGCACAATTTACAAAAATCTTCATGCAACTCTTTTCTGCAAAAACAACAGTTCATACTGGCTATGACTTTCAAAATGATAAGAAAGACAATAAATATGCCATGAAGGTAGTCCAAATGATGCGTATGCTGTTTTTATATTGCTGTTGAATTCAAAGCACATACTACTCTTACTATTTCTGCCATAGAAAGATATGGTAAACATAGTAGGACTGGTATACTAGTATGCGGCACAAGTCTTCTTGAGTCGTTTGATACTTTTATTCAATGAAAATTCACAAAGCAATACAGAAAATGCATGCATCATATGACGCTTTCTTTTTGTCACTATGAAAAATTCCTGATACAAAAATAATATGGGTTTGAAACGATACAAGGGGTGATTAAATGATTTTTTTCACATAATTATTTCCACTTATGATCAATCAGGAAGCGTCTTTTTAAATCACTCTGTGAATGACTTCTATTTATACTGTGTGTGCTCTTATTAAAACATGTTCTAATAAAAAACGAGCTTCTGCTTTTAAAGAAATACTAGTGCTTGTTTTGGTTTAAATCTCTAAATCGTGGAAGCTGTGGACTGACGATTAGTTAGTAGGACAGACGAGTTAAGTGAAATTCGCATCACATCCGCTTCGCTGCCTGGAGGAAGTAGTTTCATGTCCTAGTCGCTCCACCAGTCACGACGGCTCCTGATCTCCATACTAAACCACGAGCTGCAACACCAGATGATGATGATGATTCTTTCGCACTACTTTTAATAACCCAGTTAGGTAACATTTTACTTGAAGGGGTGTGCATAAGACTGACATATGTCTTGAATATGAAATTATGCATGTTTATAAGTGACTTTCGCTCAAAAATGACATTTTTAATGCAAATATGACATTGTTTAAGATGTCTTTGTTATGACATCTTGACATAAAATTAAGTTAAACTGTAACGTGGTTGGCTTTGACCATATTATACGAGCATGTGATATATTTTTTCTGTTCTTTGACCATATTGAATATTGTGGTACTAATTGAATTTGTCATTAAAAAGTTATAATGGCTTCATGACAGCCAATGTCAAAACCAACCACATGACAGTTTAATGTAATGCTAACCAATAAAGCTAGGTGTTTTCTTAAGTTTGATCATTAATCTGCTATGTCAGGTTGTGTTGTCTTAGTAATGTCAAGCTGTCATGACAAAGACACTGACAGGTGATGATGTATTGGTTTATGTCAAGGTGTCATAACAAAAACATCTCAAACAATGTCATATTTGCATTAAAAATGTCATAACTGAGCGAATAACTTCCTTCATATTCATAACATATGTCATGTCATGATTATAGACTTATGCACACCCCTTCAAGTAAAGTTACCCTCAATTCATTTAAACGCTGAGCAGAAAATCGTTCTTCTCTCTTATTTCATGCCACCTGTTCTACAGTTAACAATCGACAAGCACATTAGTTATGCGGTTCATTCTGTGCTGTAATTAGAATATCAGTGAAATGTTCGCCTGCTACATTCATTAGACTGCAAAGGAACAAAATCCAGCAGGGAAATGCAAATGTTTGGGTAGACTCTGCAAAGCTCATCCTTGGGAATTTTCTGCGTAGATCAGCCGCATTTTGAAGACGATGAGCAGAACGAGTTGCATGAAAGATTTAAGTCAACATGAAATCCACACTGACCCTATTTACTGTCTTATAACGTTCCTGAATAATTCATCATTGCTATCCCAAGGAAAATGATGCAGGAGGATGCTGACATTTTCAACCACCTGTGAAACAGAGACACTTTACACAATGGATGAAGTCTCGTTTTGCTCGCAGATACGGCAGGTTATGGAGGTAAAAAGGGTTGAGGACTGTGTTTGACTAACAGGTTTGTGATGAGTTGTGGAAAGCAAGGCGTGTGATTGCACTGACTGTGAACTTGATGAAGGAATGTTTATATTAGACTCGACTGTCCTGACCTCCCACATTCTCACTGCATTTCCATTCGGCTCAGAGAGAGATGTACTCTCCAAACCTTTGGTTATAACAGACACAATCAATGTTCGTGGGTATATATGAAACCTTCAAAATCAAAAGTTTTATTTGGAATAAAGAAATTGAAGCTTTTTTGCTTTGATATTATCATGAACATTTTTTATTATTACCGTGTCAAAATGTCAAGTCTGTAAAGTAACCTGTAAAATGTTGTAATGGTAGTACTATATTGGTATGGTGATACTTTAATATATCAAATGGTAATGATATATATATATATATATATATATATATATATATATATATATATATATATGTACACTATATATATAAATATACTCAGTATATATATAAATATACACAGTATATATATATATATATATATATATATATATATATATATATATACATACAGCCTGCATTCATTTGATCAAAAATCCAAAAAATCAGAAAAAAATGATATTCTTATATGGTTTTCTATTTTACTTTAAAATTTAATTTATTTCTGTGATCAAAGCTGAATTTTAAGCATCCTTACTCCAGTCTTCAGAGTCACATGATCCTTCAGAAATCTTTCTAATATAGGCTACTGATATATAATCAATGTGTTGGAAACAGTTGTGCTGCTTAATATTTGTTTTAATAACTTTAAAGTTAAAAAAACAACAGCATTTATTCGAAAATGGAAATCTTTTGTAACAATATACACTTACATCAAAAAAATGTTTTGGGTCAGTTATTTTTTTCTTTCTTTAAAAACTTTTATTCTTCAAGGATGTGTTAAATTGTAAAAAAAACAAAAACAATTAGTGATGGTACAGATTTATATTTTGAATAATTGCTGTTCTTTTTTTTTAGCTTTTTATTTATCAATCTTGCAAAAAAAAACTATCACATGTTCCAAAAAATATGAAGCAGCACAACTGTTTCCAATATTGATAATAAATCAGCATATTAGAAAGATTTCTGAAGGATCATGTGACACTGAAGACTATGCTGAAAATTCAGAAGTAAATTATATTTTTAATATATATATTAAAACACAACAGTTAGTATAACATTGTTGTCTATTTTAACATATATTATAATATTAATATAATAATACTTCTAAATATTAGTATTTTTCTGTATTTTTTATCAAATAGCCTAAATGCAAGCTTAAAGGAACACTCCGACTTTTTGGGACTTTAGCCTATTCACCTTACCCCCCAGAGTTAGATAAGTCCATACATAACTTTTTCATCTCCGTGCGTGCTATAAGTCTGTTTGACGCACCCACCGCTAGCCTAGCTTAGCACAAAGACTGGATGTGAATGGTTGCAGCTTTCATACTGATCCAAATGAGTGGCAAAATAACGCAAACGTTTTCCTATTTACATGTTGTGGTTTGTATAGTCACAGAGTGTGCAAATATCAAGGCCATATGAGACACAGACATCTTTTGACCGTATAAATACTATATTTTCTGAAGGGGAAGCACTGCTACTTGGGCAGAGTGATAACAATCACCTGAGACGCACCGTGACGAGGAGCAGAGAGTTCGCTTCGCTCAGCGTTGGAATAAAGAGTCAGCAATTACTAACGTTAGATAGAAAAGCATAGTTTATCATGGGTGTTTGCTTTATTGTATGAGCTGTGACAATAAACAGGGGAGACCAGGTAATACAGTACCATGTTTCATTGATTTCCAACCAAAAACGCACCAAGATTTATAAATATCACATGAATAAATAATTATTATTACAGGAATCAATATATTTTAAATGCAATTTATTAGCTTAACCAAATGTATTCAACAGTAGCCTATATAATATACAGTATTGCATTACTATAGGATAGAATAAGGGGAAAGTAATAGCACAAATTGTTTTTGCACAATGAACTCACAGCCTATCGTACCCTTTTGCACGCTCAAGTTCGTTATTTCCATGGTTATTTCAAATTTAGGCTACTAGGCGCGCCGCGCGCAGGGTGCAATTTCAACGCGGTGAACGCGCTCGTTTTTTTTTCCCAAGCGCGTCCGCACCGCATCAAGATAAAAACATATTCATACCCTAATCATATAATAGTGTCACTAACGTTACATTAGATCTGGCTAAAGGCACTGTTACAGTAGGTCATCTAAAAACATAACGGAACACTAACCTCAGCCGCAGGTGATCCACTTGTCCTGTCTGTGCTATCGATGGGATGGCCGTATCCTTCAGCACATTTACATTATGGTCCGTGTGGCAAATTCCATTTTTTCAAAATAGTCGTCCTCATTGAAATGTACCGAGCAAACATAATGTCCCTTGATAATCTTAGGTGTGTTTGGATAAATATCCAGAGTAAGTTAGCCATTTCTTCATCCAGTCAGCGTTTTTAGTTGGAATTCTGTGAAACATGGTTACCTCCCCTGTTTACAGTCGCAGCTATTTACAATAGAGCGAAAACCCATGACTCTAAACTACGCTTTTACTATTTATAAATTGCTGACTCTATTACCCAAACACCGAGCGAACTCTCCGCTCCTCACCACGGCGTGTCTCCGGTGATGCGGTTATTACGCCGTCAAAGTAGCAGTGCTTCGCCTTCAGAGAATAGTTCCCAGGTTTTATACGGTTAAAAGATGTCTGTGTCTCATTTGACTTTGTTATTTGTACATTATGTGACTATACAAATCACAACATGTAAATAGGAAAACGTTTGCGTTATTTTGCCACTCATTTGGATCAGTATGAAAGCTGCAACCAGTCACATCGAGTCTTTGTGCTAAGCTAGGCTAGCGGTGGGTGCGTCAAACAGACTTATAGCACGCACGGAGATGAAAAAGGTATGTATGGACTTATCTAACTCTGGGGGGTAAGGTGAATAGGCTAAAGTACCAAAAAGTCGGAGTGTTCCTTTAATAAGCATAAGAGACTTTCAAAAACATTAAAAATAGTATTGTGTTCAACCTTTTGACTGGTACTATGTAATAGTACTAAATGACAATATGAAAACAGCATTAGATTATAAAACGCATAATCAAAAACAAATGAGTGCATTTAATCATTTTTTCTTTTCCTGATTGAATTATGAATTATAGAATGTACGGAACATGTGGGTTATTAAAAGCAATTTACGAACTATATAAATGTCCTGAAGACGCCTGGTTCTTCTTATAAGGCAAGGCGGAGCTCTATATATGATGGACAGTTAATGCAGCCAGTTAAAAGCGAGACGTCCGTTCGACGGCCAATAGTTGTCTCGCGGGGGCGAGGCTAACTCGGGGTTTTATCCGCACTCTCGCCAAACGAAAGGAGAGAGAATCCCAAAAATGACATCCACATTTCCAGAGGAAAACCGCGGCGTTTAGAGACGTTGTCCTGAAGTTTCCCTCGCCTCGTCACATTATTGCGGATTACATTGTCTCCAGATATGTAGTCATTAGACTTTGAAAATGCTTATTTAATAGCCTACAGAAGGACAGTGTTTGCACACAACTGTTATCTACGCGTCTAATTTACTCCCTGATTTCAAACTCATGTGTGATTTAATGCCAGCGGCTCAACCTGCCGAAAAAATCGGCAAAATGAAGAAATTAAGAAGAACTTTGTCGGAGAGCTTCAGTCGCATCGGTGAGTGTCCATCATCCATCGCTTTTATTGTGCACGAGCTCGTTATCTCTGCAGGACAGTCCTCGGAAAGTTTGTTTTCACTGTAAATGACCGTTTTTGTGCTTCATTTGTACGGTAAAACGAAACAACTGAACTGTGCTTGTGAAGTGCAGATGTTGCATGCTTGTTCATGATGCAGCTGAGCTCTTCACGAACCAGCAGAGTAGAATTGAATAGAATATGAGCTGCAGAATAGACATCTGCTTAATCTGCAGATGCACCGGTATCTGATTGTTTGTGATCTTCTGTCAGAGGTTCACATGCGATCAATGTGTGTGATCGATCAGTGTGATCTCATAAACTCTTTTCTTTGCTCTCCTGCATTGTGATTCATTGCCAGTGTCTGGAAATAATCCTCTAAACTCGCAGAGACCTTCATCTGTAAAGGTCTTTGATTTTTAGGTTGTGCATAAGAATCATTACTTGAGCAGATCAAATGGAGACTTTTGTTTAACATCAATGTCCTGTTATTATCTGTTAGTTATTTATGTGTATTCCCTGATTTCATCAACACCTTGTTGACAGATAAGGTTTAGACTATAATAATGCATGTTTATTATAATTTTGCTTCTGTTTGAAAATCCTAAACTAAAATGTGTCAATTCTTATAAGAATGTGGAAAAGCCTTGATGCATCAACCTCACGTTTTTGTTTTATTTTTTTATTTTTTTTTTATAGATATTTGACATTTGGTCTTTCTTAGACAACAGAACATGAAGGTTCAGTCTTTTGATCATCAGATGTTTCACCTTGTGTCACATTTCAATATGACCTCAAATAGAGAATTTTTACTTTTATGGCTTATTGTATGTCACCAGTTGCGATGAGCACTCTTTAGGGCACTAAGCTGGTCCCTTTGCGGTTTGATTTGAGATTGTGATTGTCTCCTGTCAGTGTCTAAAGGCTGTTCTGTTGCAGTGGCGGTTAAAGATGCGCTGCCTAGGGGCTTTTATATCGTAAAGACGCTGACTTCACCAGCCATGTGTCTCATCATGGTTGTGCTACGTTCATCTGTTCTGTTAAAGGACAGTAAGAGCGGAAGTGATGGGCTGATGATTGTGTCTTTGCACAGGAGTAATTCATATGGGCCTCGTTCCAAAATCGAGTTATCATGCTGCCTGCGGAGACAACTTCTTTTGCAACGGTCACAAAGAAGGCAATAGTTGAAGTCATGGCGCATTGCACCTCAAAATTAAAAGAAATTAAAGAATTTATGAGAAAATTGTTTTCTCATAAAGTAAAGCCTTATATTTTACATTTGAACTATGAGTCATTCAATAAATCATTCACTTTTAAAATTAATTAATTAATCAATAATTGTTTAAATATTTTATAAAACGTTTTTATTTACAATAAGTAGTGTGTTTATTAGTTTAAATAATCTATGACTCATTCAATTAATCATTCAGTTTCAAATCAATGAATTATATATATATATATATATATATATATAGGCTATATATATATGTGTGTGTGTGTGTATATATATATATATATATATATATATATATATATATATATATATGTATATACACACACACACATAAGGCTGGGCAATGATTAATCGCATCCAAAATAAAGGTTTTTGTTTACATAATATATGTGTGTGTGTAGTGTGTATAAATATTTTGTGTACTGTATATAAATACACACACATGCATGTATATATTTAAAAAAAAATGTGTTCTTAATATATCAAATATTTATATATAATGTTAATTAAATATATATAATTACTATATCAAATATTTATATTTATGTATAATATTAATTAAATATATATATAAAGTATATAGATACAAATATTTCTTAAATATATACATGCATGTGTGACTGTGTGTGTATTTATATACAGTACACAAAATATTTATACACACCACCACACACACTTATATTATGCAAAAAAAAAACCTTTATTTTGGATGTGATTAATCGTTGCACAGCCCTTGTGTGTGTGTGTATGTATATGTATATATATATATATATATATGTATATGTGTGTGTGTGTGTGTTTTCTAAAAAATGGTATATATATATATATATATATATACTGTATATACAAAATAATTATACACTCTACACACACATATATTGTGTAAACACAAACTTTTATTTTGGATGCAATTAATTGCAATTAATCGTTGCCCAGCCCTAAAACATGCACACACACACGCACACACATATACATGCATGCTATTTATTTATATATGTATGCACTTATTTAGTTCTGTACCGCAAGGTAGCAATAGAAGTATTTGACTTATTTTATCTATTTTTTATGCATGTGAATCATGTCATTGATAAACATATTTAAATGAGAGTCTCATGGAGTCGTAGCGTATGTAGAGCGTTCCAAATCACTCACTTATAATGCTGTCTTTGTACTCTGAGAAAAAAAAAAAAAACGTTCCTTGTAGAAACGATTTTCACTCAGCAATTGCTAATAAATTTCATAAATAATTAACAAAGTGACATTGAATTAAACATGAATTTTTAAAGTATTTTCTTGTTAAACGGACTTCAATAATCTTTGTATTTTTTATACGAAAACTCATATTTTGGCGTGTTGTCTCCTCATTTAGCTCAGTGCGGATGTTCTTGGCGTCTTTGTGAGTGTCTTTGTTTGAAGTTGTCTCATCCGGCCCATCGCTCATTTTGCATTATTATCTTTTCATCAGGCTGCCAGTCGACTGTTTTTAGACACCCTGTTCCATCTGAAGCCTTTAGAAAGGTTTTTTCTTTTCTTTTGAATGTGTGGGACGGATATTTTGAGACTCCGAATGTATTTTATTTCTTCATTGAAGTGAATCTGCTCTCCAAGACAGTGAAGCTGCTTTCATGCTGATGGTGCAGGAATGCACAGGTGGCATATAATTAAATCATAACCTAGCCTATTACTTATGTTTTTCCTTGTTGTTTTTCCCCCTGAAGTGAAATCTGCAATAGTTCTGCAGTTTCTGTCTCAGTTTTCCTCGGAGAATGCTGCAATTTAATGGCTCGTCGCCTTGAAACAACAACAACAGTGACATGAATAAATAATTTTGGGAGGGACATGTAAGAGAGATGCTCGGCTCGTTTAACAATGATACTGTGTGTGCATGACTGTGCTTCAGTCAAAAAATCAAACTGTGGGAGGGTTTATGAAGCATTCACATGAAGAAGATCTGTGTCTATTGTCTGCACTAACAGCACAGATCTGAACACATTCTTTTATATTTTAAAGGAACGTTTTTTTGATGCGCATGTGATTAACACAATATATTTTTGTGTGGTTATAAAAAGCTGACATGTAAAGCTGGTATTTAAAATGTTTAAAATACTTATTTTATTTTTGAATGGAATTTTTCCATCAGAATGGTACAAAACTTGGAACAGGTTTTAGCTCTTGCTGTGTACACACACACACACACACACACCTGAAAAATAGTAACACTCTTGCTCCTCACAATAAAAAATGACCTCATTAGAAAATGGGAAACAAATTTCATGTATAAAATTAAATCTTACTAAAAGCTCTTCTTCTTTTTTTAGATATCTACCTCAAATTTGGAACACAACTTGTTTAAATGAATGCCTTCGATTTTGTTTCAGTAGTAGAGTAAAACTTGTTTTGGGAAATATGTATTTCATTTGTGAATTTTAAACTTTTTAACTTCTACACACTTTTTTTTCACCAATCTGCCAAGTGTCTTGTTTAAAAAGAGGCTAAACTTAAAGCTGCACTGTGTGATTTTTACCCCCATCTAGAGGTGAAAAGGTATATGACCATCCAGTGAATATTAGTTTCTGTTTCTCTCAATTCCGATTTCGTTTTAACTCCTACGGTGGCCAGTGTAGTCCAAGATTAACATGGCTTCCGGTTCGACCTCGTCCATGAGTGTTAACTCAAAAAGCGAAGCTTGAATTAACGGGTATGTCCCTCTTTGGCTAATGTACTTTCCAGATGGAGGGGCAACATGATGACCGACATTAGAACCCCTTACCAGTATGTATTTTCAATGGCATATTATACACTCACGAGAATACTTTATTACTTGAACGAACTAAATATACATTAATGAGGACATATGTTTGAAAGAACTAAGTGTTTTTAGCTAAGAATAAACTAAAAAGAGTTACACAGTGTAGCTTTAAGTCTGTGTTGCAAAGCATTTTTACTTTTTCAACATTTAGTGTGTGTTAAATGTTGCTGTTTGAGCATGAAAAAGGTCTGCAAAGTTACAAGTCCACTCCATAGGGAGGGAGTTATTCTCTATTTCAGTGTCACTGTTTCTGAACTCCTTGAATAGTCTTGAGTTTTCTTCCGGGAATGAACATGTCACATGGTTCCTTATTTAAATTATAAAATTAAATTAATGTGTAAAATAAAGGGGAGGGGCCTAGTTGAGTTAGTTAGTAGTGTGTCGAGCCTCATGGTTATGGTAAGGGGCGGGACATTTCACAAAAATGCTCAAAGCAGCTGACCAATCAGAGCACAGTGTGCTTTTTAGAAGGAGGGGCTTCATAGAGACCGGAACTAAACAGAGCAATACTGACAGACCGGGAATAGAGGTGCTGCAACAATGGAGAATATGTGAAAAATAATGTGTTTATTGAACATTCAAGCATGAAAACCTGTTCTTGTAGAGCCCCCTAAAAAATCAAGATGTTGAAAAATGGCGTAATGGTTCCCCTTTAAACAAATTATTAGATTTTTTTTAATGTAATTGCTGTGCAGAGTTTTGCATCATAGACTATAGAGTTATTTTCTGTGGTTATCAACAGTATCTCAAACACTTTTACATCTCAATATGGGTATAATATGTAGTTTGTTTGATCATAAATTGGTTTATTGATCAATTCCCTCCCTTGTGCTAGACACAACAGAGATCTTTACCACAACAGTTAAAAAGATGAAACAACTGTCATCCAATATTTACAAGTACATATAGTCTCATTAGATCTGAGAGGAAAGCTTTATTACCAAGAATCCATTCTTTGCTCCCAGTGGCCATTTCATCCCATATGATCTCCAGATTCAGTTTCCTTCATCGAATGATGTTGTAAAAGTCGATGTTTGCTTGGAGAGTATCGCTTTAAATGTCCATGCTCAGATAAAACCATTTCTCTGTGGTTTCCAAGCTTTATTGGAGTTGTTTGAAGATGCATGTGGTGGGTGGACACATTTCACCCCCAAATCAAAAGAAATTATAAATATTTTTATGAAGTGAAGCATAAATACTATATATATATATATTGTATTAAACATTTAATATATTTTATATATATATATGAAGAGTTCAGATGCAAAAGCCTCTAAATGCCATTTGAAATTTTCTTCTTTAATGATGATTTTTTATCAAACTTGTATATTTAAGTTCAGTAATTTCACTTAAATAATAATTAATAGGTAATTATCATTGCCATTTAAGTGAAATCACTGAACTTAAATATACAAGCTTTATAAAAATGATCATTCTAGAAGAAAATTTCAAATGGCACTTAGAGGCTTTTGCATCTGAACTCTTCATATATACTTTTATAAAGTTTATTGTAAAACAAGGCTTGATTTTCTTTATGGAAAATATATTTTCTAATTTCTTTCACTTGATTTTGTGGATTAAATGTAATGTGGACTTTCTCTTAATGACCTATACGGCTGTGGCTGGAAAACCATTTCAGCCAATTACAGCCTTTCTTATTGGTTTTTCATGTTCATGTGCAGAATGCATTAAAGAGCCACTTTTTGATTATTTCATTCTTTTATTCACTGTTCAATAGTCAGTAAAATGAAAGTCTGATATTACTTTTCTTTCTCTCCCCCTCAAGCCTTCAAGAAAGAAGACAGCGGCTTTGACGAGGTAAGCCAAAATACAACCATTTGACTTTCATAACCCTTGGGAGTGTTGGAAGACTCAGTTAATGTAACTGTCGTGAGATGTTATATGACGTGTTTGGTGTAGTTGTGTGCTGTCTGTTGCTTAATGGATTTCACTGCGCTTTGACTGTCATTGGAGTAGTGCATGCTGGGATGTGCTGTTTGGATGTTGCTATTTGAGGCGATGGTGTCGGTCTCTAGGGGTTGAAGTGTCAGTTGTGATCATTTGAGAGATGCTTCATTGTTCTCCGTTTCTTCATTGCGCCGAGGCACCGACCCGTCCCTACATTATTCCATTGGCTTTGGAAACGGGCCCTCGAGTGATATTGAACAGGAACATACAATATTATTTAAATACATTTGAGGCCCCTTTCCACTGTTACAGCCAAGATTGTGTTTATTGGTGATTTTTCTGGAAACATGTTTTCCAGAGTATTATTTATTATTCTGAAAAGAAGAATTTTAAAACCAAATTTCTCAAAATGATAACCATTTTTGTATTCAGGCAGTCATCAAAAGCTTTGTTTTAGTGCTACATGTCCCATTGCAATACATAAGTTGTTTGTTGATTATTTTCATGTTCAAGTTAATTTGCAAATGTAATTTGACACCAGAAGCAAGCGGCATGTCACATTGGTTCCAAGCAGAGACACCATCATTTCCACCATACGGCCATTGTAGCTGAGCGTTTTAGCTAATACTTTAGCCCGAATATGGTCATTAAATGGAATTTGATGGGCATGTTTCACTCTTCAGGAAGTATAGTGCTGGGCGGTTTGACCAAAAATTTATATCACGTTTTTTTTTTTTTTCCGGTTTTCCGGTTTATGTTGTTGTTTTTTTTGTTGTTTTTTTCATGCATAATCAGGTGTTGGTTGAGAGAGGAATTACTGCAATAAATTGACTTAGGATGGTCTATTTTACTCTCATTAGTGAATATTGTAGAATAGAATAACGCCCAGTATAACCTAAAATTGTTAGGACCACCAGGAAATAACGTTAAAATACAACGTTTATATAACGGGAGAATTGAATGTTCTAATGACGTTTGAATGATGTTCTTATAGCCAAGCAAGAACGTTAATTCAACGTTTATATAACGGGAGAAATGAACGTACTTATAACGTTTTGAATAACGTTATTATTATACCCAAGAAATAACATTATTAAAACGTCTAAAAAACTGGACGTTTTGAATGTTCCTAGAACATTCAGAAATAACGTTTTTATAACTTAATGGGAACGTTATGAAAACGTTCTTATAACCTAAAATTGTTATCTGCGGAAGAGGAGAGATTCGCGATTGCACTGAACACGTTTTATGTGCAGGATTCTCTAAGCGAGCCAGAGAAAATAGACCTATTCTTACAAGAGCAGCTTTGTTCGGTTATGGTAGGTTTAGGGTTACACCACTAGGAGGCGCCTTCTGGCCATATATATCTGCGTCTCATATTGACGCTAAAGGGTGCCATGTGCGTTGGATGTAGACGAAATGTCAAAAGCGTTAGTATATGACGCCTTGGGATGAGAACGGGCTGTATATTCCGCGCGCGAGCAGAGAGATTCGCGCTTGCGCGTTATATTAATGTACTTTCGCGCTACAATAGTGCGCTCTTGACATTTGACATGAAAATAACGCTATAGTACCGCAGGATCCATCTTCCCTGTAACGTAACACCAGAGCACTGCTGTATAAAGACGAATCCGACGAGCGTTCTGTGTAGGCTGCCATCTTGTGGCGACGCCATTACTGAGCTGTTACACAGGCATAGACATATGCACCTGTATGTAAACAAACCTCGGTGATAACGCGAAAGCACCCTCGATGACAGCTACAGTCAGGCAGAATGACTTGTTGGTTTGATCTGTGACTGCAGTGGCCTCCAGTCACAGATGAAGGTACAAACGATCTTACAGATTAACGTTATTTATGAAAATAGCTTGGCAAGCTAGCTAGGCTAACGTTTGCTAACGAGGAAACTATAAAAAGATCTGTCCATTTGGCAACAATAAATAAATAAATGAATGAAATCAAATAAACAAATTCATGTTTTTCATTTGTGTCCATTATTTATCTCATTTTCACATTGCAACAGGCAAGGGTAAGGTAACGTTACAGCTAGAAAGTATACATAATATCGACCAATTTGTGTTTTTAAACCATGGGAAGAGGTCAATATAACAGCAGGAAAACAATTATGTCACATAACGTTACATTTAGCTCAGGAAAGCCATTTAATGACCATAGCATGTTAATTGAATAGAACAAATAGCAAGAGAGGAGATTTTGCTGATCACTATATCACATATTTATTATTATTTTTTTTTACTTATGTCATTAAATAATTGTTATTATACGCGAATGTCCACGTCTTGTACTCGCCCAGGAAATCTGTAAACCGTACGGCTCCAGACGGGCAGTCGACCCGGGGTATTCACAGTGTTTTCTCTTCAAAATTTAAATTTTACTGCCACCATTGAAACAATTTATAACGGAAACTGTTTACCCACTCGACATTATACAAGGGGTAACGTTGTAACGTTAGTGACAGTCGTAAATCGCGGGCTGTTTATTCCAGTGGACGCAAGTTGCAACTAAAACAATAGGAGGCAATGGCGCAACGCTACCCAGCAACAGCTCAGTAATGGCGCCCCGCTTACTTCCGGTAGTTTCGCCGGATTCGTCTATATCCTTGGCCTCGCCTCGCAGTCGCTGCTTAGAAGTGCAACATTGTAAAGGGTCCGTCTGAAACAGTGTCACGCGGCACACTGGGCACAGCGATTGAAATACATTGGTATGGTGGTATATTAAAAATTAATATCATAACAAAAATATACACAGGTTTTCGGTATGAACCTCTATCAGCCCAGCACTATCAGGAAGTCAAAGTAGCAATGACTCCTGAACGTTAAAGTCATCATGAAACGGAAGTTGACCATCTTTTTTTTCCTATTGTGAGGTATATCCAAGTGAAATCGAACAAGAAAAAATGGGCGGGGCTTGAATTTATCTATAGGGCATTGATTGGATGGTTGTGGTTTGCTATTGGTGGAATTCATGTGAGTGACAGGTTGCCCCGCCCTCGCGCCAGTCAACCCCTCATCAGAGAAGAGAAGAGATTTTGATTCAAGATTAAGAGGCACATTAATTAAAAAACAATAATGATGTGCACTGATAAATCATGTATAATAAATGCACTAATATTCCATAAAAACTAAGAATCGTCAATTTTGATTTCATGGTGACTTTAAACTCCAGAAACTACAGGTATGTGGACATCAATAAATGACAAACTTGATCTTGAACTGGAGCTTGTGAGATCTTTATATAACCCTGAGCGCTGGTGCTCGTGTGTCTTGGATCGCTTTATCTCTTGTCTTTTCACTGCCGTGGTCAGCCGTCACATCTGGTTAGGCCTGGATGAGCGTGTGTGTGTGTTTCTGCGTTCCTCCCTAGAGACCCACAGGAAGCCCTTCACTTTCTTATGGGCAGGCTCTCTCTTTACAACCGCGTATCCATTTAACAACATGCATAAAAAATACAGCGGATGCAAAACAACAACCTTGACTGAATAAACGTGAAATCCAACAGTTCGCAGAGGTTTGCAGATGTCTAGTTGGGCTTTTTTCCTACGTGTCATGTTACGAGACGCTCCGTCAGCTAAACGAGGCCTTGTTGTGCTGCATGTTTAATGCTTGGAGTCTCGGAAACTAACGAGTGAGTGACAGTGAGGAGTTTTTACTTTTACTAAATATTCATTAGTCATGTTCGCTAAGGCGGTTTCTTTTGCTCATACTTTACAAAAAGCCTTCTTGACATTCACAACCCGTTCTACTTCTGAAATCTGACATGAAACAGGACCTTCAGTGAGACTGGATAGATTTTATCCATCAGGATTTGATTGGACTTGAAAAGTGGGTGTGTAGAGGGACTAATGATGTCAGCAAAAAAGGCGGAGCAAGTCATTTATAAACATTTTTAAGAAATATTATGCAAAAGAAGTCTTGTTTTTCTTTGGAATAACTTAAAGAATCATGCACAATAGGAACTTGTGCTAAGAAAGATCATATATGCATAGTGGCAGCAAGTTTTGCATAGACAAGCAAAATCTTTAGAAAATATCAAATGTAGCAAATGTTATTTTGTTGTATTTAGGACATTTGAAGCTGTTTATTTATTTATTTAAATAATACGCAACAAATAAAAATATATAATATATAATAATAACTTATTATATATACATTTAAAACTAAACCAATACGCACACACACACATACACATATATGATATATGAGATATATATATATATATATATATATATATATCAGTGTTAATTTCGTTAACGAAAGCTATGACGAAAAATGTCATAAAAACTAAATATATAATATATGTATATTTATATGTGTGAGTATATATATTTATTTATTTAAAAAATAAATTAATATATAAAATAAATATAATAAATAAAATAAATTAATAAAAATAATAATTTTTAAATAAATAAATAATAAATATTATAAATGTGTGTGTATATATATATATATATATATATATAATATTTATTTAAGAATTTAATTTTTTTTTTTTTTTGCAAAAGGCAGCAGTATTTCTTGGGATTGTATCTTGGCAATATCCATTAATGGTGATTTTTTTAGCTTGTTTGTCCATGAAAATTATGTCTCCAAGCAGTTTTTTGAAATGATAAGATTTGTAGCATTCAAAGCGTTCTCTTCATGGGAACTGGTTCGGTCCGTTGGCTATAAATGGTTGCCGCCGCTGGAGAAACATGTAAAGAATCTCAGAAGGAAAGGGACTGTTTCCTGTTGAGTATGAAGTGTGTGTCTGAGAAAGCAGAAAGTATTTGACCTCTCTTGAGATGTCCTGATTCTCTCTCTCTCTCTCCGTGTGGGTGTGTGTTTGTGTGTGTGAGTCTGTTGGATGCGTCTTCATGTGTAACTGACAGTTTTCCCATAAACCCCTGC